TTGACAATGTTTGCTTTGAATAATCGGTTGTGGTCGCATAAACAACGTGAGGTGGTCGGGGAGTCCGAATACTGAGGGTAAATGAATGACGCCGCATTCCACTAGGCAGCCTGGGAATACCAATATCAAAGAGTGACCCCTGAGGGAAGCGTTGCACGGCATTTGGGTGAATAGTGAACAACATGGGTGATCGCTGTTCTGCATTATTTGGTGTGAAATACAACCCTAATGATTCTGGTCATCCCACATATGTTTTGGGAGTTCATTCTAACGACCAATTTGGGGCCATTTCTGTTTTGGAAGTTCCAGAAACTTACATTCGCATTGTAGTCACACCTGAAAGGCGTACTCTGTGTGGGATCGAATGTAGGCTGACGAAAACTTCAGAAACACAGGCTCAAAATTACCTAATAATCACCTGCGAACCAACATGTCTTGCAGCCAAGACGATCAGTGATTTCGCCCGATTTTGACAATTGAAGTAACCCATAGTGAGGATATGACTGAACTTCAGTGACAGAATTTGATGGATGGTTTGCAACAGTGTTTCATCGGGAGAGTCTGTGGATGCAGGAGAATGGTACACCAAACCGATCAAGCCGATATCGCAGTGCGACAGTCTCACGTTGCAACACAGTGAATTAGAATCCGCAGCACGTCCGATTGTACTTTGCTGCTCTGAAAAAGTAAGTCACCGCGCATCATACATCGATCGCGTTTGATCAGCAAAAGTCTACCTCTGAGTATATAATGTCGGTTGTCAGTTGAGAAACGCAGTTCTATTTTTGAAAATTTACTGATGAAACCTTGAGAACTCTGTATTGTATGAGCAATGACATTTTCATTTTAAGATTTCCAACTGGCCTGTCCCCGTTAGATATGTTCTTGTGAGTTCATGAATGACTTTTAAGCATCTTACCGGGAGGTTCATTTTTGACGACTGTTTGGAGTACGTGTCTATTCTCCAAGCGTCATTCATCATGTGCACTCTGATATACACACTAGTCATCATTTAACTCCCGAACGTGGTTCATTATTAGGTGTTCTTTTCAAATTCTGCATGCTCCTTTTCATTTAAGGAGCAAACGTCCTCAGTCCGGGTGGCTGATTTCGCTTCCGACATGTTGCTTTTACTTTACTTTCGACACTACCAGATGTAAACGTTTCACTTGTATACTTCACTTGCTCATCGTTTTGTCCAGCAATCTGACTCAATTTCGTCTGGCCGTCTTGTTTCCAACGGGGAAGATCCGATTTATTGCACAGTCAATTTATAGCCCGTGTTTGCCAATCGCCTTCACCGTTGTATCATAGGCCTATGTTGACTCGTTGTTTATATGATTAAGTCAACCAGAGTGAGACGCGTTACAATTGCTTTAAAACAAACCACAGGTCAATAATGCCAACCTATCAGAAGCCAGGCAGCCTAAACGGAAGCTATATGACATCAAGAATGTAAGCAGGCTATTGGTGAAGACTTGTTCCATCTATGACGTTTCGTTGTACAAATCATTTAATCCTCTTGCTTTTCCTCAACAAGCTAGTCGTTAATTCCGTGAATATTTTCCAGCGTGTCGGTACTGGACATTACAGCTTACTATTATTAGTGTTATAATTCCAACAGACGATGCTCGGTTGAGGGTACTCGCTCATTGTCAATAACGATCAGGATATGGTTAAAATGTCATTCATATAACAAAATATCTCATTCGCAGAATTCCCGCAAACACACCGGATATGTAACTGAACGGTCCACTATTAGATGCACATTCTTGTGTTCACCGTACCAAACAACAACAGTTTGCTCCAATAGGTCTTGTTCATTTTTGGTCGTTGAAAGAAATCGCTGATCGCATCTTTTTGCGTAATACTCATAAGTGAGTAGTATCTCACAACATTAGTTCCATTCTGTGGTTCAGTTGAAACCATGATTCTTGATCCGATTAATACACGGATGCATGAACTTGCGATATTGCAGACTTTGGTAAGTGCTGAGCATATCGTGCTGTGATTGTGATTCCGACTAAACAACACCCTTGTGAGGATACCACTGACAACCGAACTTTAGCCAAAACCCGCATTTAGTCTTTAGTCTCGATCGTCATAACTGTGCCCGATTTTACGGTGTTAATAAACTAATAATAATAATAGAGATGGATTTTGAGTACGAATCGTATACCTATATGCAGAATCCACACATGCGATCAGCATGGTATCACGTGTAGCTGCATCCTAAAATGCCGGTGGGTGGTTTGCATTGATCATCGTATTGTTCGTAACTGTGTATAAATTCGATGGGTAGTTTGATGGCAAGATCCTTTAGCCTGGCCTAAAACCGTAAAGTGGTCTAATCAAAAGTTGTGCCAGTCGCTTGCGAATGGTTACTAACAAGGACGTGGTTGGCCAATAAAATCACAGCGATCTTCATTAACCAATAATCATCATGCTACAGATCGCGTGATATGGACCAGATGAACCAATGATAGTGGTTGTACAAATCGAACACGGATTTACCGCTGATTCAAAGCTATTTGCCTCAAAATTTTCACGCAAGCTATCCGTAATTTCACATTTAGGTAAATGAGGTTACACTTTGATTTATCATATTTTATTAGATTATTTCGTAACATTATTTGTTCACGTTTTTGACTTTACGAATGCATGGACAATGTTTTGCGGTGGCTTAAATCATATTAAATTATATTGATTAGAATGGCGTGTTGGACTGTTATCTATCGTTAGTGGAGATTTGTAGGGAAATATCGAATAATTTCACATATCTTCATTATTTACGGTCTTATTTATATTTGAATTACTTTTTTGTTGATATGCACCATTCGATATAAATGAATATTAGTTTGTGAGCGGGCAATCAGGAATATTACACACAAGGAGCTCGTAGTCCAAATACAGTTGGTGACGTATTCCCGTGACTGAGAGCCCTCGGGTGGCGGGTCACGTGGCCACTGCTTTCCTTGCATCGATCGATCAGACCGAATGCAAGCGACTGGTTTAGAACTAATACGAACTAACACACGTAGCACAATGAACCAATCACGAGTCAACCACAGACCTTGACCAGTAGTGTTCAAACTATTGGCGTACTTCGGCGACAGCTCACGTGCGCAGTCAGTAAGTGAAAATGAAATTTGTGCCTCTCCAAGTGAACTACACGGTGTGTGATAATGCAACTCCGAACGAGCTCAGGTGATTAGGTGAAAGTAATCGTTACTAAAGCTCGCACATAGGTGCGTGCTGATGCAGGAAACTTTGAAACAGTTTAATTAGATGTGAAAAGTAAACACACAATGCACCGAACAACGTTTTGGTAAGTTTCCTTTCTCTTCGTTTCAGTGGCTNTCAGTGGCTCTTAGTGTAACCCAATCGAAAAAAGAATTTATGATATTTTACATTTTTCAGAATGGTGTGCGAACCGATTTTTAATGAGGTTGCCCTCTCGTGGATTCCAGTTGATGCGAAAAGCACTGTTCCAACAAACGCGGTCGAGGCAAAACCCGGATTGTACATAATCCGAGCCCGTCATGAATACGATATAATCCCGGGTAAATGGTCTGGGACCACTCCACACGCATTTGTATCCTATGGATGTGGTGAAATCAAGGTTACCAAATTCGACGTATTGTGCAACACATCCGTGTTTCAGAATCGCCCACCGTGAGTTGGAAATCATGGAATTTACCAATAGATTAATTGTTACGATTGTATCATCTCTACAGTGTCTATCAGAGTCATAACTTGTTTGAACTCTACGACTGATTGAATATCGATTCTCGTAATCAGTTAACGTATGTGCTTGTCAATGATTTATATTTTTTAGGTAATTAGGGAAACCCGAACAAACTGCATTCACAAGAACATACCTCACACTGCTTCACCATGTCGTTTCACACATTTGGTTCAGAAGATGTCCGGTACCATACGAAAGGCTCGTCCACTCTGAATGCAGAGTACTGCATCCGGTCAGTGAAGAATGGCCTTGTCCTTCCCAGGATCACTTTGAACATCGTTCCATAAATATCCCATAAATATCTCTTTTTTATGAGATCAAGAAAAATCTTCCTGCTAACAGCGGGTGCTGAATTCAATAAGTTCGTAAAAAGCTGATCAACTGAATAAGTAAATTCATGTGGGTTTTTTAAGGCGTGATTGGTTTGGGAACAAGGGAACACAGAGGAAAAGGTATAACTTACTGAGGAGGGTAAAGAGCACTGAACCAGAATCGAACCAGATAACGTAACCACTATGGGATGCAGTCGCACTCAACGGTACAGCAAAGTTCTACGAGAAACCAGTCTGTTTACACTGATTCTGTTTCTACCGTTCAATGGCAGCTGCCTCAGCGAATCGGTTTGAAAGGCTGGTTTTCTGGCACACTGGGACATGAAAGTCGTTCTTCTGACTGTGAAATTCTTTATGAACGACGGTGGATTAAACTTTTTCCAACCTTGGACCTGTAAGAGGCCATATCATTTGGCATATGCTCTAAGATCCTGGTATACAATCATTTGTTGTTTCGACGAAATCACTATCGCAAGTGCATTGAAGCGATCAGGAGGAGCTGTTTAAATACTCAGGTTATTCCAAATTATTTTCTGAATGCAATAGGGATTTTTTCTCGTATGATGCAATACTACCAGAAATTGAATTCCAACAAGTTCTAATCAAGACAGCTCGATGGCTTAACTGGAGTGTTGGGTGCATATTACTTATCTTTTATTTTATTGTACAAATTATACTCGCACTTTTTCATCCCATTCAGATACAAATGGGTACCAGCATCCCATGGTTTGGTTCCGCATCTGGCCGTACGCGGTGGACGATGCATTTCAGAGGAACCGTTATTCATCGCCCGTGCCCAAATCGAAAATGTGTGGTGCACCGGTAAAGTTCATCCGTCCCACGGAGTTGCTTATTTCCCCTTAAATGGTGTTGAACGTAACAGCCATCAGTACGAAGTGTTGTGCTTGCGTGGTGGAAGACACCACATCTGAAACATTTTTCGAGAAGCACCGTGTTCGTACTGGATCCAGTGCGCGATGTTCCCGGACCGAAAGACGCATAGCGGCAGATCACTCAGACTGTCACAGATATAACCACCCCTCTGAACAGAAACAATTTCATTCGATTTGGCAATACACTTAGTGCAGATATCAGCTCATTCTGAAATCCGTGACCTGTTAACCCGATTAGGCTTTCCTTGCAAGGCTTTGTAAATCGAAACACAATCACGTGAACATTTCTGGTTTGTACTATCCAATAAACGTTATTTTATGTTACGGATATTGCTTGGATCGGTAACTTCGGAACATGAAATGGGACAAGCATTATCACCTAATCGTCTGGAAGGCCTACTAGAACTAGAACCGTCAAAACGATAGTAAATTAAATTCTCTAAGACTCATAAGATCATATTCCGCACCAAGGTCTGCCTACACCTAAACTATTCTCCTGACCATTGGATATGGAAGCGTGTATTTACGGGAGCTGGGCCAGATTTCCGCAATTTTCTCTTAACTCTTGGTTATTTATAAGTTGTAGTGCAGAATAAATAGTGCTGATTTAGACTGATCATCTTTGCATACGCCAGTCTCACTTCCCATCGCACATGAAATTACCACAGACCGAAGTTTCGTTCCAATCAGCAGCGCCGTACATCAGTCATTGTCAGTGAAATGCGAACTAAGCGCCATCGGGAATTCGACGTTGACATCTACACTCAGATGTTTGACACATGGACTGATAGTCACTATATACTGTTTTCCTAATAATGGAGTTTTGTAGGATGAACGCAGGTTCAGATGGTTGTAGAAAAAAGTGGCTAGACCTTTTTCATGAGTGTCTAATCAAACATTCCTTACTCTTGACTGGCTAGAAATGAAGTTGGACGTGATCTTGCAAGAAATAGAATAATCGAGAAACGCCTTGTGCGGCTATCAAAGTGTCGATTAACCAAATTCTAGCAGACGATCAACAGAGAGAGAGTTTAGGTCAGGTTGGATAAACACTCTGGAAAGATCATAGATAAGAATCGATTAGGGAACACTAAAATTCGCCATGATGATCCACAGCATAGCAGCGTATACCAAGGAAGACACGGGACAAATAAAAATTTCTGCCTTGAACAAAACATGAAAGATGAAAATATCATCAATCAAATAACGGATTACATAATGGAACTGCTAAGACTGTCATAACACACCAACCTATACTGACTCATTGAACAACAACAACAACAAAGATAGCTGCACACATAACGGCTGATAATGAACTTTGCTACGTACGCATTCGTCCATCCATTCCTTTTGATCTTCCAATCACTTAATACAGTTGATNATGACAGACATTGACCAGTATCCTTCCAGGCTGTTTTGTCCGTTAGCCTGTTCGACCTAATTTTAGATCGTCGTAAAATCAATCCATCGATTGATTCTAACAAACATTCATCAAGTCGTTCACCCAATCCGATCGGCTCGTTGTCTTGTGTTGGTTTATGAGGCCCTAGTAATCGGGTATATTCGCATTGCGATTTGAATTTGGTCTTAACTGGCCTGAAAAACACTGAGTGAAACGGGATGGATGACATTCCGTATTCACATCAGATACTTATGCATGGTACGACAGATACGGGAAGTAAAGGTTCATAACCTTTATTCANNTAGCTTCTGGATCACGCGACCACCCTGTGGTAATCGATGTAAATAAGATTTCTGAATCACGGATCTCAATCTCCTGGAATCGTACTGTCGATCATACGAAGGAATCTTTCGATACCGAGACACAGGGATAAGGTCACAAAAGTTCACTGGGAAAAGATCAATGGGTTTAAATAAAAGGTACATAGGAATGTCATTGGTTGGTTAAATCTTCATTAGCTGCCTGTATGTATTCGCTTTGTCACATGCTTCTGTTTGAACCACACGGATTCTGATTGGTCGATACTGTTAACCCATGATTCGTTGTCCAGAACCGGCAATGGGTAGCTCATTGACTGGCGTTATCTCGGGGGCTTGGTAACTCCCACATCCTCCTTAACCCACAAATTGTGTATAAGTTCCGGGTTGTATTAATTGTAGTGTGCACTGATCACGAAATACAAATCACGAATTAGAAATCACGGACACCGCGTAAGCACTGGATCACACCAGCACTAGCCCGACAGTATCCCAAGTAACCGAGAAGCGAGGAAAAGGCCACAGAAATTGCAGTTCGTTTATTGAAAGAAATCAAGGGGATTAAATGATATGTACAAAACAAGTTCATTGGTCAGCATAGCCTCTGCCAATCGCGTGCTAGTATTTCTGGCGTTGTTCAGCTTCTGTCTGGGCCGCACGGGTTCTGATTGTTTGGCGTAATCGACCTATGGTTTAGTATCCCGAAGCGGTGACACGTAGTTGCTTTACTGCCGTCAACCGGGAAGCTGGGTTCATCAAAGTTTTCCGAAAACTTTAACGTGTTGCTCCGTGGTATGCATCATCTCGTAGGCCAGGATCACCCCAGAGGTGCAACAAATTTGATACGAGTGCAGTGACAAAGTCAGTTATTGTTGTTGTTGCTCAGCTCAAATTGAAAACAAACAGGACAGCCTATCGACCAGATAGACACCCTGGGCCATGGTAATCGTATTTTCTTTCACTCACTGTTCGGTTCAGCCGTAGTGGGGTTATTTGTTTCCCGTGGTTAGCAAGTTCTAAATCACGCTCTCCTGAGCGGAGAAGGGGAAATCCACTGGTATAGTGTATCGGTACTCTAATCGATCACTCCTCGGAGCTGGTTTGCAAATTTGACGGGTAGACATACATCGATCGGAGTTTGAATGAGATTTCGAGGTGGTCGGACGAACAGGTGAACCAAAGAATCGGCATTATCTTCTACTGTGGTGGGATTCTATGCCCATCTTTGAAAATCTGAAAATTCAACATTTTAGGCGGATGTAAACATATTCTAGGTTTAAGTGCGTGAAGTTTTGCTGCTTATTGAATGAAATGCACGAATTTCATGAATAAAGTTCAAAAACCGTGAGCAACGGTGAAATTCCATTGCTGAAGACCAAATCATCACAGGAAACACCATAGTACCCTTAGGGTTCATCCAAACAGTTTAGCCCAATTGGTCATTTTTTGTGCACGCTCGTCACTTTGGTGTGCATGCGTGCGTGCGTTTGACAGTACACACTAATGTGTTACTGGGATCGACATCGGGATAGATATCCCGGGAAATAAGCTGAAAAAGCTTATTTTCTGGGATGTATATCGAACGGTTAATATTTTGCAGCAACTTGTAATACAAAAGATCATTGAAATAATTCTAGACTTAGGCAAGAAGTTCCATGAACACTACAATGTGGTTTTCGTACTAACCGCACCTCGTGAAAGTGCTTTCGGAACCAGAACTGGTGAGTCAACCCTCCCAGATGACGCCGCCCAAGCGCCTACGTGTTCCAGTTTCTGGAAACTGGGCCAAGGACTAGCAGTATCGTTCAATCAACATCCATACGGTTCAAACATAAGCCATGAGTCTTGAAGAACGAGAACGGTGATTGGCTGATGCTCGTTAGAGTAATAATATTTGTATTCGCATGCTGTTTGATCCCATTGATTTTCTTATTACAATCCATGAACCACTACGTCTGTTGCGTTTTTTAAAGTATCTAGGTGACGTGAGATTCCAACGTAAAATTGCTAGTGTGATTCTGTGCTTTGGTTGCGACCGTGATTCCTGGTCCGCAATCAGCAGCTATTTCAATTACTTTACATTTTCGTCGCGCAAAGGAGCTGTTATCTGTTGAGTAAGTGAACCTGCATGTCAGTTTGTCCGAGATCGAGGAGTGGGTGGAGCGATTCGAGCTATGATGTGGCATTAGCATAAGTGACATGCAGAAACCATCGACCCTATTTGTCGCTGCTGGTGACCGCGACCACTATTCCTTGATAAATAACTCGGCATTTCCTGAGGTTCCGACAAAACTTCCCCACGACTCATTGAATCAGCCACTGCTTGATCACACTTTACCCACTAACAATTCACTGACAAGAAAGGGCCACATTCCGCGATTTCGTCCTCCAGTTGAACAAACAGGCGGCACGTTGCAATTATGGTGATCGTTTGGAGAAACGAATGTGACCGTCTGTTGTCAAGTATCAGCAATTTGGCGCTGCAATGGAAATTACTGGCAAAGAAGGACCTGACGTTCACAGAAGCACGCAAAATCTGAGAACAACATGATGATTAGATACGAGCAAATTCCATCGAATCGGTTTCTCTGTTCCAGTGGCACGGCTAGGAACCAGTCCGAGCTCCGGTGGCCAACCATGCATCCAACCCCCAACGCGATACTTCGGACACCGATAAACCAAACAAACCATGCCTATCCTGTGGAGCTTACCATCTACACTCCACGTGTCGATTCCACAATGCCAAGTTCCATGGGTGAGGGAAAAGTGGCCACACAC